TTTGCTGTTTCCCTAAACAAACACATTCTGTAAATAGGAATCATTTTGCTTTTTTTTGGCTAGATAATATTGTCAATATCGGCAGAAAATGATTAACCATATTTGAAAAAAGGGTAATGGAAAAACTTTAAGGAACAAAAAAGGTATATTTAGTAAAAATTAGTTTTCTGATGTCCAAAGACATGTGACGAAGTTTATTCTCGTTCAATATTTGAATGAAAACTGTTTGTACTATGCGCTTTTCAATAACAAATCCGGTAAATTCCTTTTAATGTTAGCCCATTATTAAAAACATTATTAGTTGTTTTATCAAATATGAATGAAAATTAATATTGTGGAAGATTGAATACCATTACTAAGCGACTGCGATCACCACCGGGTTTAGGAAGTGTTCGTACATTTCGATGAAGTGTTTTAAGGAGTGGTGTATGTCTGTGTTTGTCTACTTTTTCGCCTTGGTCATGCTGTCATCTGTTTTTCTTCGACTGTGGTTTGAGACTGCCTCCTTGTTATTTTCTTCCATCTTTCAACCAAAGAAAAGACAATCAGATAGTTCAAAGCTGAGCGAATAAAAGACAACAGAACTTAAAACTCAGATATTGGTGCAAGATATAAGAAAACAGTAAAACAACTGTACATAAAGGGATTTTTTTTCATAATACAAATATTCAAATAGAGTTAAAAAAAAAAAAAATTAAATAGAGCACTTCAAATTTACCATAACATACCTGCTTTTAAGCTATCTCATAAAATTAACCCCCATCTAATTAAAATGTAGATCTCTTATTTTGTTATCCTCATATGATACATTAGTAGGCGAGTCGTGATTGATCTGAATTTAAGTCAGATTGTTTTAACCATGTTTTTTACACTTGTACATACCATTTTGTACGTTTTTTTTTTATCCATGTCAACTCATATCACTTATTATTGTTGTGAAATCTAAGCACCATTAGAAACCCAAACGAAAAAAATATAAAAATAAAGTGAGAACATCACCAAAAGTTGATGTCAGATCAACAACAGAGGGCTTAGTGGAAAATAAATATGCACAAAAGAAATTTGAGTTTAGATGACATAAAACCAGTTAAAAACTGGATAAATTCAACCACAATTTTCATTTCTCACAATTTTATAAATATTTTAGAATAAAATAACTTCATTTTCACCATTTATATTCTTAATGTACATGTACTATCTTTAATATGCCAATGTTCAATCAATGCTTGACAGATGATCTACTAAAATAGCATTCTGTTTTTTCTGAATGCCTTAAAAGAAAATATTATGTGGCACATCTACATTGAAATTTTAATGCAAAACCATGGCCAATTAAATTTGTAATGAAAATGGTTCAAATGCATTTATATATCAGTTTCTATTAAGCAAATTTAGTAGTAACATGTAGCTGAAGTAAACATTACCGGTAATATCAAAACTGCTTGGTTTTGTAAGAGGTTGCCTACTTTTACAAAAGACTATTGATGCTGATTGGTAGATTTTTTGTTGTGACACCTACACAGTAATTTCGTCCTTGATACGAATAAAGATAACTAAATTAAATGTATTTATTATGACGGGGATTGCCAGTTTTCCTGCCAAAGGTTGGTGGTTCCTTGGGCACTCCGTGGGCCCCATCAATGAAACTGATCGCCGCAAAATACTTTAGTAGCCAAATGTGCTGAAAATTGCGTTAAACACCAACAATCAATCAATCATCTTTATATTACAATGAACTAATATGTTAACTATTCAGGAAGTGTAATGTAAGTGAATATAATTGCAACATGTCTCAATTGATATACAAGAAATTACGTAGTTTGATAGGATTAAATACTTCGGCCAGGTATGAAGAACATTTTTAATGGCTAGCTTATAATAGCTTTCACTTTTTTAGTCAATGCAAGACGCAGTATACACAACCAAGAAAACATATAAATATTGAAATATCAAAGTTTCGCTCCTAAACTTTCCCCTAAAAGCATGAATTTCTTTTGTATTATATCCTTAAACCTTTTTGCACTTTTAAGATTTGTGTTTTTCAACCTAATATTGACTACATACAATTTGTTTAACATAGAACAGCTAAAAAGGTTTAACATAGAACAGCTTTTTGCAGATGGTGGTATTTTGGGCAACTGCATTGGTTGTTATAATTGGCCGTTTAATTAACAAGAAGCGTAATTGCAGTAATTTGATGATGTCCAAAACATTCTAAACACACTAAATAAAATATGTTATTTGGTTTTATGGTGAACAACAATTGAATCACAGACACAAATTTTGGTTTTCACGCATTCTTATCATTTTCACTGGAAATTCTGGAAACGGCGCTATTTATTAAAAATCCGACATTAATATTTCAAAATGCTTTTTATAAGAGGCTATTAACATCTGTTCTAACAGATTTTCACAATTCCATACAAAATATTATAATTCAGAAGACAGAATATGCAAAAACGCTGATTCATGTAAAATTAGAAATTGCCTGTCTTTGACCTTTCATCGTGATTTGACGGAAGCTGCACCATACAAATATTTGACGACCGGGCAAAAAAGATAGTACAGATGATATGCTTTCGAATGGTATATGATTTAGCCGTATGTTAGGTGGGTGCATTAAAAATGAAATTTTATGGTTAATGTCATTCATCTATAAAAATTGGTGTCCATGATTTGATTTTTGATTTTTGGTGTTTTAACGCCACTTTTTAGAACCGCTATTGGGCTATTTCGTGGCGGCCAGTTTTTATTGGTGAAGGAAGCCGGAGTGCTCGGAGAAAACCACCGACCTTCTATAGGAAAACAGACAATCCTAATCAATTAAGATTGGAGTCGAGTGCACCCGCACGAGCGGGGTTCGAACTCACAACCTCAGTGTTGACTGGCTAGTGATTACAGTAGTAACTACTTAGACCACTCGGCCACCGAGGCCCCTTGGTGTCCATGAAAATAAATGAAGCAACAATACCTATATATTACAATAAATGACAAACCTAACCGTCAGATTCCTGGTTTCATTACACACGTGAAAAGTGTGAAATTCATGCATTTTGTTTAATCTCTGTCCGTCTGTTTATATTGTCAAATCACTATACTGACGTCAGCAATTTTGTCAGCTATGAGGTTTCAAAACTGACGAATGTCTAATATTATATATTTAAAAAAAAAAAAAAAACTGAAAGAATTTAAGAACTTTTGTTTTTGTGAAAATACATAAAGACCATTTCCCCTGGTATTCTGACTACAAGTAAATTCAAATGACAAATTTAAAATTCCCTTAAATGACCAATTCTTCAACATGAAGAATTTTTACAACCATGAAGAAGTATTGTTTGGATTTTGAAGTTCTGAATAAAAGGAGAATACATCACAAATAGTGTATGTATTTTGCTTAGTTAGGTGGGAAAGTCATAGGGAAACAATGAAACCTTTATGAAGATTTAATGCAGAAAATTATTCGTAATTTTAGGTTTATTACGCTCAGCTGAGTTCGTTAAGACAACGTAGCCATAACAAAAAGATGAGAGGTTTTCAGTATAGGTTCCGAGTTGGTGTGATCAATATTTATAAATGTATTGTTGACAGTTTTTTTGTGATTGTATGCAGTTTATGGTAATTTAAAGTATCAGCATTTGGTTCTATTTTTATTTAAAAAACACTGTTTAATAATTAAAAAAACAATACATTACATGTTTGATCAACTTTCGAATGTCTATCTCAATTATCGAACTCCATTAGTATGTTTATGAACAAAATACGGGGAAAATTGGCCCAGTCCTTTTCTTTGAAGGTACAAATAGTTTTAAAGATTGCAGAAGTTCAAGTAAAAATGTATACTTTATGTTTGGTTGAGCACATTGACACCTGCTTATTGTTGGTATATTTTATGCTTAGTAGATCATAGTGGCGAATGAGAAGATAAATAGCCGAGAGAAATTTAGATGGGTTTAAAGAACAGAATTAACACCCTAAGTGTGACGGATGGATGAATACAGGAATATTTATGCCCTCGACTTGTATAATAATGTGGCACCCTGTCAGATTATCGAACTGTCGGTCTATAGAACTGTCGGACTATTGAACTGTCAGACTATCGAACATCAAGACTATTGAACTGTCGGACTAAAGGGGCATCAGATTGTCGAGCGTACCCCGTTATGGACATGGGAACTTACATACCAGTATGATTAAGCAATGAATTTTATAGATTGTTTAACATTGAATCTTTTTCATTTTTTAGGCAGTCATGAAATGGTTGGATTTCTAGCTAAAAATTCCAAGAACATACAAAATTTAAAGGGAATAGTGGTCTATGATATAGTTGTCACTAATACTGGCAGTGGATATAATCCTTCTAAAGGACACTTTGTCGCCCCTTATGAAGGTCTTTACTTCTTTTCGTGGACAACACTTACTCTAGCAAACAGTTACTTCTTTACTGTCATCCAGCACAATGGTAAAACAATTGCAAACAATCATACGGGAGCTAGAGGAGTGACTACAGAGAAGATTGCTACAACACAAAGTGTTGTATTACAATTAGCAGCAAATGATAAAGTCTACATAAAAACTCATGGGATGGAAAAAGATATGTACGTTGGAGATTGGTCTACTTTCACTGGTTTCAAAATCTAACAATTTCAAACATATTGAATAAACATATATGCAATTCAATTTGTATTTAAGTTATGATTTATTTGTACATTAAAAACAACAGATATTGATATGAACTAGAGTCTCTACAGAGCCTGTGTCATTTATGTGTGCATTTATAACATCAAAGGCATTAAGTCATGTCTAAGATCTCTTTTTTGTTGATCTTGTCTTGCTAATCATTTTTGTATGGTTTCTTTTATTTTACAAATCTAAGTGACAAAATTGGTCAGAAATACTTTCTTCATTTTGAAAAACCATACGTTAATAGTGAAAACAACAAATGCTGGGGGAATCATATTGTTGCAAGATTTTTCAATCACTTCATTTATATATATACATACCATTGGCAAATGTCTTTTCTATGTAGATGGTGGCTATATTTGTCAAACTCTGTAATAAAAATAATTGTGATTATACTAAGAGCATTTTGACAGGAATTCTTTTCATTTAGCTAAAAAACAATTTCATTGAAATGAAATTATTGAACATTTACATATTTATATGGTCTTTTTTCTACTATACTGACTTTTCAAGATGAAAAGACTTTTTTTATTTTTTTGTTCAAGATTAAAAGGGGGAGGGTTGAGTGCTACAAAGACAAATTCAGTCCCTACACATGTTTTAGTGCCAGTCTAAACTCAGAAGAGAAAAAATACATTCAGAGAAATTAACTTCAAGCTGATTCCTTATAAATTGATTTTTGGTTGCTTTATGTCCAGTGGCAAATATTTCATGCATATTCAGGACAAGATTCCAAATATGACAATTATGTTTAATCTTTTACCGGTATGTATTTACATAAAACTGATAAATAAAAGCTATCTTCTCATCAAATTGAAAAGTTGTAAATGTAAATCTGATTGACAAATCCTACTTAATTTCATGTTTGTAATATTAACAAGATTTTTTTGGGGCAAAATCTTCTTTTTATCTGTTCTTACACTTACTAATATATACTTCTTTCTAAACTAGTTCTATATATTACAGATCTTACCTCAGAAATTTTCTCCAAACTTTTATTGGTGAGTAATTGACAATTACTGATTGACAATTCTCTCAGCTGTTTACAATGGCGACATATTTTCATAACTCCAGTGTCTGTCAACTAAAACAAAATAACATTATCACAATGGATCAAAGTTCTTCTTTTGACTTTTAATTTTGTAAGACTACACAGAACAAGTTGATATATTCAATTGATCCTAAGATTTGATACGCAAATGGGTTTTGCTCATTGTTGAAGGCTGTACGGTGACCTATAGTTGTTAATTTCTGTGTCATTTGGTTTCTTGTGGAAAGTTGTCTCATTGGCAATTTTACCACAGCTTCTTATTTTTATATTATGTTCCCTTATATCCCTTCGTTGAATTAATGGCTGGAGTCCGTATTTTGTAAACTTGCAGTTTCATCTTTCCGCAAAAAAGTTTATTACGTATCTAAAAAGAAGTACATACTTTTTTCCTGCAGTTCACCTGGTCAATTACTAATCGTTTTCATTGAGGAAAGATATACATGTACATAATTTATAATTATACATATCATGAATGTACATATATAGTGGTTATCTGATCCTTCAAAAAATTTAGTAAATATTAAATAAGCAGATGTGGTGTGATCACCAATGATAGAACTATCCACCAGACCAAAGGGGAAGGATTTTTAACTACTGCAGATCACCGTTACATTTGCATTTTATCTAAATTCATTTCATTGGATTCTAGGTATGTGTGCTTGAAAAAGTCTACTGAAATTTGTTGAAAATTCAATATTTTGGTGTTTAGATGTTTCCAAGAATTTTATAAACTTTGTTGTGTATTATATACAAATGATTTCTTAACCAATAATTAGCCTGCATATATTTTAGTAGAAATGTACTTTATTTTTTTCAATATATGTACAATACAACATTTACCTGGCTTACATGTGCAGATGAGGTCAAAAATTGTTGAAAAGTACAGCAATTGTTATAAATTACTATCATGACTATTGAGCATAATCATTATTATTGCGGAAAAGAAGACCATAGAAAGAAACTTAATAAAAAAATTGTGGAAAAAGAAATGCTGATTTGGGGTTATGTATTTTCTTATGAAATCACTGAATGACTTCCCAATTTTAAATGTATTTTACATAAACATGAAATCAATATCATGAATTCTAATGCAATAACATCTGATGTCAGGAGCAAAAAAAAGAATCACACAAAGTATTCTTTAGAACTACAAGGATAGGTAGCAAAGTTGACTTTTTTTAATTTCCAGAAGAACTAAGGACAATGTTAAAGGTTGAATGAAATACTGTGAAATATTCCTGAAATTTTTAAAGTGAAATAGTAATTCAATTATTTTGTGAATATTGAAATGTTTGGAGCCAAACCCTAAAATTCTGTCAGATTAATTATTATTTATGGAAAATTCTGATAACAAAGTTGAATACCTTAAGTGTCATGCATGATTACCTTGCTGCAGTCTGCTAGGTTTAACACTTTACATTCATCACCAATCTTCTGAAAACACTGTAATCAAAATTAGGAAAGTCATGTCATTAACAGAAACTGTAAGGAAACTAGCAATGAGACAGTAAACCAACAACACAAGTTCAGCAAAAAATGTCCTACAGAGGTCATCTGGTCTGCAAAGATAGGAACACTAACATTGAATAACAGACTTTAAATGGCCCACAGTCTGAATATGTTGTGAATAAACAAACTGACCTGAGGTATACAAATATTTGAAGCTTACTGATTAGAGCACAAACATGGCCATGAGAAAATGACAAGAAACCTATAGCTTGCATGAAATATTTTGATTCTAATAGGACAAATACAGTAATTTTAAAAGGAAGATAAGCGTGCTGTGTATGTAGCTGTTTAGCCCATGTAAGATAAGTTGAAAACTATCCTTCCCAGGGTAGACTTCCATTCACTTTATCGACATTTTATTATTTGTTGTAGTTACCTGTTTTGTTTCATTATCATTCTTTGATTCATTGGCATTGCATTCTGTTTGTAGAGTTAAACTGACAGAAATAGTTATTGTTGATAATAAGTACAGCATCCTTGTCCTTTATGGCATACCATTGAAATCTCAAAAGTGATTTAAGATAAAAATTTACTTCGGACTTGCAATTCTGCCCTAAATATTTATGTATACCGGGGTATATAGAATTTTAGTAGGCTGTTGTTTCCAAAGCAAAACACTATAAGAACAGAAAACGTAATAATTTATGTGCAGGGATTCATTTCGCTCATTTTGCTATCATGTAAAATGCAGGAAAATACACCCCCTGGCAAATTTCTTGTACAAATCAACAATTTTTATGCTAAGGATGCCATTTCTTGGATTTAACCCAAAGTCGAAAGGTTAATGAATTGAAATTGCGAATAATGATAGCCGGCTAAAAATATTTACTTTTACAGTATTACTTGTACTACAATACATACCAGAGTTGTTATGTATTACTTACATTACCAGAGATATTATTGTTGCCTTGCAAATTGACATTTTCTATCTGCTTACAATTTTCAAACAACCACTGTAGACTGAAACAAGATATCAAGCATTTTATTTTCCTATTAATTTTGACCCTTCTGGAGCACGTTTATTTAGTAGGTTTTTGGTGGAGTTTGTGCTGTTCATTATCTAATTTATTCTGCAGTGTTTTATAGACTTTTGTGTGTCTGTTAGTCTTTAATCTTTTGGCCAAGGGTGTTGTCTGTTTTTCATTCTCCTCTTTTTTCTAATACATAACAGTCAGATCTATTGTCAAAATATCTTTGTGATAAATGTATGCACTACATTAACTAATTTTCTAAATTTTGAACTGAAAATAAAACAAGGTATTTTACCAAGGCTTCCAAAACGGTCATATATTCCGGACATTTGTATAATGTCCGGTAAAAGTCCGGCTGGGCAAAGCATGAAACGGACATCTACTTTTTAGTTTTCAAGGCTTAAGTCTTAAGAGACGGTCATTTTAACATAATTCGCGATCTTTTTGACCCAACCTTTTGCCTTTAACAGCCACATTTCCGGTCATAAAAGTGACATGATCATTAAGTACTATCAAAACAACCCCTACTTTAATACCTTCTCATTTTAATCAAGGCTAATTAGTTGTCGAACAGCTGAAATTTACCTGTTCAGGTGACAGGTAAACTATTTTGAACCGGACATTGATCGGTCTATTCAAAGTTATTTTCTTACATTTCAGCGGTTTGCATCTAATTAATTTAGTTAAAAAGATTTAAATTATCAGAAATACGTTTACAAATATGATTTGATGAAAAAATTAAAAAGGTGAAAATGAAAAATCGTCATAACCACGTTGTTTGAACCAGAGACATGTCTCTGTTTGAACTAGTACACGTGTGCGCATGTGCGCAGGTGTGAAATTTAATTATGCATCCTAATTTCTTCAAAAAATGCTTAAATTGTCATTGATACCTTTATCTCACGTTTATTTCGAATATTTTCTTGAAGAAATAACATAGAATGAGCTACTTACACTCATTCATGCTTTGCAAACGTACATGGAATTTACGTATCCGTCTCTGGTCCATGTTTTACCATTGTCAAGATAACATCCGGTTTAGATTTAAAAAACGAAAGTAAAGTTTTTGACAACGTTATTTTGCACAAATAAAGAGTCTAAGCAGATATAAGTACGCTGATGTTGCACACTTCGAATGATGCACTGCCAATTAAATAGTTTACGTAAGAACTTCGAATTTGAATCAAAGAAAGTTTAATATCGTTTTTTTTTTTAATGTCAATCATTGGGATGGCCAACTCGGCAACTGAGTACCATAATTGCCTTTTATTTATTTAGTCTTAAGGGATTAAAATCGGGATAATATATAAAATGTCCGGCTGGCTAAAAATAATTTTGGAAGCCCTGTATTTTACATTTATAACATTTTCAATGCATCTATAATCAATGTCTGAATTAGCCTTTATAAGAACACAGAAACTACAAATAATTCTAATATATTAGTAATGTTATCATCTATATTATGAAAAAATGGGCTTATATGTTTTAATTGAACAAAAGATTTATATTTTAGTACACTGTATGCCCTATTAAAACGTTTACAAAACCATTTAAGAATTTCTGTCAACAATCCTTGACCTTGTTTTGTAACTGTATTGACATATTTATCGTACTCACCCTTTATCACTGACATGAAAACATCTCTGTAGGCAAACAGACTATAAATAAAAAGAAAAGAAAAAGTAATTGTTAATTGCTAAAAGTTCTATAGTGGAATATTGTATTTGGTATGAAGTATTTTTAATGATGATTTTTTATTTTATATTTTTTTCAGTTAGACTTTTTCGTAAAAGCTAAAGACATGACTTTATATAATTGCTAATATGATAACAGATTTGTTATATACCCAAAAATCTTTTGCTTTAAATAAATTTCTGATATTATGATTTTTAGATTGCCAGCCAACTTAGATATTTTACTCTCTGACTAATAACAATAAAGCTTCCAGGTATACAAGTGGCCACAGGACATTTTAGCGAAAAATTTTGAACTACTAGGGAACATGTTAGCTCAGACATGATAGCCCATTTTAGAGGAGGATTAATCCGTTCACATGTATGTTCAATAGCCCATTTTAGAGGAGGAATAATCCATTCACATGTATGTTCAATAGCCCATTTTAGAGGAGGAATAATCCATTCACATGTATGTTCAATAGCCCATTTTAGAGGAGGATTTATCTGTTCACATGTATGCTCAATAGCCCATTTTAGAGGAGGATTTATCTGTTCACATGTATGCTCGATAGCCCATTTTAGAGGAGGATTTATCTGTTCACATGTATGCTCGCTAGCCCATTTTAGAGGAGGATTTATCTGTTCACATGTATGCTCGATAGCCCATTTTAGAGGAGGATTAATCGGTTCACATTGTTGAGTTCACTTTTCGCAAAAGTGGGTTAAAAATCTTGCGCTAAAATGTCCTCCGGCGATAAAAGTATTGCTTTAGTGACTAAGTGTTGATTTACTTAAGTGATTTGCTAACTTTCTTGATGCACTTTAAAAAGAGAAGATACAGTTTTGACACATCCACAACGATTTATATTTATGTTATTTATCTACTCACAACCATCATGTAAATAAATCACTACTTATTAGTTTGTTTACACAATCTTACCTTTAACTTTATACACTTGTGTGCCAGTGATCTTAGGGATATATCAGTAACAGCCATACCAGATAAATCTACGACCTCCAGATTAGGACAATGTTCAGCTGTATTGCATAAAAAGAAAACATACAAATATGTTAAATTCTTTAAATTTCTACTCATTTATCACTTCATTTATAGATTCCAAATTTATATGTCACAATATAACAGGGAATATAATTACATTATTTTTGATGTTGTTGAAGATGTCATAAAACTAGATACCATCAAATGGTTTCAAAAATGTAAAAAAAGATATAATGACATTTTTCATCTATAAAAATAAGACCATAATATTTTATATATTACATACCAAAAGAATTGGTACATTATTTGAGTGTAGGGAAATTAAGGAAATTTAATTGGCCATTCATGTATATTCCATTATAAATATTTGCTTTTGTCTATTCAGCTGACGAAAATGAATGAAAAAAATATGTTCATTTTAATAGTCTGCTCTATTTTGAAAAATTTGCCTTTTACTTCTTACGGTTAGAAATAAATACAGGTTAATCAATTTTCTCATCAAAATTTTGAATATTTTCTATTCATAGTTTTGCTCTTTTTTGCTATTAAAATATTTATAGAAGGCTTTTGTGCAATCTTATGAAATTCTTTGCAAAAGTTTGGAAATTTCTAATTTTAATATCAAATAATATTGAAAGCTAAAGTATAGCCATAGGCTTATCATATCTCTTATTATTGACTCAAATTACATTAACAACACTGACATAATTTATAATAACAAGTTTGACATTAATAGCTTTGTTTGCAAGGTATGCACAAACAAATGTTGTATAGATATAGTGTTTCACCTATAATGTCCATGGACATGTCTGTGAGAAGTCTTGGTGATGCTGACATATCCAGTGTTCTTAAATATACTCCACATCTTACAAGGACTGAACACAGCTTGGTATCTGTTAAACCTAAAAATAAACCACATCTAACTCAGTGCTTCCTGAAAATATTTGAGCCAGCAATACATTTTTTTATTTCGAATGTAATCCTGTAAGACTAATTAGTAGAAAAATTCAATAATTTGGAAATCATAACAATGATTGACACAAAAACAATATTAAACTTCAAACTTTTGATATAAATTTGATGTTCTGATGTAAACTGTTACATTGACAGTGCACAATTCACACTGTGCAACATCAGCATACTCAAATCTGTTTTAGAATTAATAATACAAAATCACGCAATCAGAAACTTTACTTTTGTTTTTAAAAACCACATTTTTCTAATACCGGATGTTGTCTTGACATGGTATGGTAAAACACTAGAACTGAACATGCTGAACAAAACTTGGAATCTGTTAAACATAAAGAAACCACATCTGAATAGTGAATACTACAGAACACAACTTGGTATCTGTCGAACCTAAAATTAAAAAAATAAACCACATCTTTCTACTACGGAATATTTCATTATTGCCTTGTTTGTTCTTATGTTTTTTGTTATTTTGTTCTTATGTTTTTTGTTATTTTGTTCTTATGTTTTTTGCTGAAATACATGAACACAAATGTCAACACTTTTGTTCTCTGTTTAAAAAAATCAAGCAACTGGTTTCAATAAAACTAAAATATATCTGGACAATAGATGGATTCACAATGACAGAAGGATGTACATAGTTAACAACAACTGCCCTGGCTACTGGATGGCTGGGGTATAAAAATTAAACACATCTTATGAATTGTTTGTGTTGTTGGATAACTGTCTCATTGATGTTTGCCCCACATCTATCTGTTTTTATTTATATTTCAATCTAATAATGGTAAACTTTGCATTCCAAAAAAAACACCTAAGATAAACAACAAAATTTGTTTTTACAACCATAAACCTAAAACAACCAAATAATTTTTTCAGTTAAAGGGAAAATATAGATATATTCTGAAAAAAAACCCCATTATTATGCTTACCGTCAAATCTTTTGAACACAGACTGAAAATGTATGGAGCCTTGTTTATGCCAGGACCTCTGTGCTAAAATCAGCCACCTTTTACATACTCTTTCTAAACACATTCTTTGTCTCCATGGTAACATAGACATGATCAATATCAGAGTGTCATCACAAAGTTTATTTATATGACATTCAGAGAGACATTCTGATGTTTCTTTATTGTCATTGTGATCTGCAAAATCATCACTGACGGCCAATTTTTCAACATTTTCCGCCTGAAAATAAAACAGATGAATTTTTATCAGTACTTGTTGTTTTGGCAACATTTTTGTGGCTGCCATGCTAAAAATTAGAACAAATCAACAGAAGATAGTGAGAAACTGTAAACAGAAAATAATTATCAGCAATACAACATCATTAAAAAAGATAATTTCGTCATGAACTATATTATAGTCTACAATGTTGGAAAGTAGTTTTTTTAAGATACACATAGGTGTTTAACGACTTTCAGTAGACTTTGACTACCCATTAGCAGCCATGTTAGTTGGCAGGGGGGATCATCACACATACTTTTTTTTTAACTAAGTACCCTAAGGATGATTGTGACCAAGTTCGGTTCCAATTGAAACAGTACTTTCAGAAGAGAAGATTTTTGTAAAAGTTAACAAATAACAAGGACTAATGAGAAAAGCTCACTTGACCCTTTGGAAAAGTTGACCTAACAAAAATCAGAAACTTACTAGACTTGGACTATCCCAGACAGTTCCTTCCCTGTGTTTTACTCTGCTGGACTCTTCAGCACACAACACTCTCATCAACCTGCAAATACAAAATAGCATGCAATTTGATGCATCAATGTGTCTGTAACAAAAATTTTATGTGATTAATTTTGCATTCTCAAAAAACTAAAGTTTGATATTTTAACTGATTATTGATTGCTGTTTTTACTTGTTAAATAATACTGATAATATGAACATAATATATCATATTATTCCTTTTTCACTAATATAAGACAAGAAGTATAAGAAGTCTTTGAGACAGCAAGAAAACAATAAAACAAAACCAAAAATGATATGAATGCTGTCTTTAAAAACGCAGCATAAATAAAAGGAGATATTGGGGTATAATTCAATAACGTATGTCTATATATACCTTACATCAAGCATTAAATTGTCTGAAGTCTGTTGTCTAGACAAGATGTGAATAAAGGAGAAATACATTAATGTTTGGGACTTATATAGCAAGTTTAGCCCTGTTAATTTTATACTGAAAATAAAAATTTGTATACAACTCAACATTAATCCAATTCTTTAAGCTTCAAAAGAAAGGCCAAGAAAATGTGAATATTTCCCAGTCTTGGCGAACACAATTTGTCTGTTATGTCATAAGGGATTTTTTTTTTTAATTTAGGAAAATTATGTTAATTTCAAAAATATTTTGACTGAATTAACAAACAGCACAAGGGTCGCCAAAAAGTTGTTTGTTTGTTAGTGGATAGATTTGCACAAAATATACTTACTGAGTAATTAACTTTTGAGGCAAAGGTTGTGCTCTATGGTATTTGTGAGCACGTGAAAATCAAATAGTCAAAATTTTGAGTAATTTAGCTATTTTGCTGAAATTTTTGTAAATTCTATGGCTGTATGACATTGAAAAGGGTCTATTTCAAACCAAAAATTTAATGTTTTATTAAATTACATAGATTCAACATTTGATTCTGCAAACTAGAGATAATTTGAAATACATTTGGGATTTGGGCCAATTCTCCTTTAAAAGAGACTTAACCATTCATAACACCATGCTTTTAATGGACAAATAACATTAAGATATTTAAAAAACCACCGTTATATTGACACTAGACACACACATGTACATATGGAAGAGCTTAATTAGTTAAGTTATTATTACACCCCTCCTTATTATAAACATGATAAATGTAATTCAATCAGTCTAAAAATAATGGTTTAGAGAAGGATACACAATTAATTTTGTTTTAAATATCAGTATTAGAGACATTAAAAAACAACATGGAAAGAATTACTTAATAATAATAATCCTGTATCAAAGAATATTGTAATTTAACATTTCTTTTATGCCTACTGTAGTGCTGCAAAATAGTTCCTTGAATACCAGCCTGCTTGACATCCCAAAGGGATTGGTTTTTGGCAGTTTGGTAAATTTTGTCACGTGTTAATACTGATTTATTACAATTTCTTGTGAAGTTTATGTTAAAATGTAAGGCCCCCGTGGAATTTTTAAAGATTTCCACATTGCAATAAATCCTAATATGAATATCATCCCTGCAAAAATTACCTTCCATCCAAAGTTAACTGCTCTTCTGAGGCATTCAATGCAATCTTAAGATCTTTTGTAGAACTAAATGTTACAAATGCTATTCTGTAATTAAATAAACACAGATTTTAATGTATCTCTTTAATTTAGCAATTACCATTAAGACTGCAGAACATTCTTAATGAACTAAGGACAGCACCATTACAAATGTGATTCTTACTAATGCTTTCTTTACATCACTATGAAACAATACTTATAAAAAGTGTCTATTGTTTTTTTAAAATATGAGGGATTTTCTTGGCTGGAATCTCATCGTAGGGCAATAGAGCCAAGCCTTCAGATGAGATGTAGTTGATAAACTTTGAAGTTGAAAGATCATAGATCATTTGTTTATCATATTCTTTCTCGGAGACGTCATTGATGTTGGCTCATAACGTCATTGTGTTCTCACTCTATTCACACGAGACAATTCATTCTCACTCTACTCACATGAGAAAATTCATTCTCACTCTACTCACATAAGAAAATTAATTCTAACTCTATTCACATAAGAAAATTCATTCTCAGTTGATGGAGAAGAATAATTATCATACAGAAAGTTCAAAGCAAAACTTCAGAAAATAGTGATAAATATAAAATCTTGCATTTATTTTACTTCTAGTACCACCCTATGCAGTAAGTGAAGCATAGAAATAACAAGTTTTGGTTAAAATACTGAAGGTTATTGTGCTCATGTGATTTTGGACATACATGTAGCCTTTGGTTATCCGATAAATTCTATGAAATCAGTCATTCCCAAGGTCGCCAGACATGGGACAAAGACCAGTAAAAATTGGCTTGGTCCAGTTAAGTGATATATGCATAACTGGACGAAATGACTAGTAAAATTTTTAATTTTGTCCAAATCATATGTGTTAATGTCCTGTAAAAAAAAAGTCTGGTACAGTTAAGAAGAATGGTTTACTGGACCAAATGTCCAGTTTGATTTCTCAAAGAACCACTGTGAAATGTATTTTGAATGAGAGTATAAAGAGAGATAACACTGAAGTGTACAATACAATGCAATCTCAAATACTCCAGTACACTGTTTCACAACTTACCCTTTAGGTCGTTTCCGTATATGGTCTTTAACCATGTAACAATAATCCACTTTACCAAATTTGGAGAAAAACTTTGTCAATCTCTTTTGTGTTACCTGTAACAGATTTATAGATTATAAAATTTTTTTGTTTAAACAAGGACGTATAACTAATATACATCCTTGGTTTAAATGAGATACATTTTCTCATCATTCTCTCTAGAAAGGCTAACAAGTTTAATAAAACAGAAATAATTGTTTTATTTCTTTTATCCCAGGTAATACCAATGATGAATGGCTCTTGACATTATGACATCCTCTTTCTATTGACTGCCAAAAACCCATCTAACTCTTGACATTATGACATCCTCTTTCTATTGACTGCCAAATATCCATCTAACTCTTGACATTATGACATCATCTTTCTATTGACTGCCAAAAACCCATCTAACTCTTGACATTATGACATCCTCTTTCTATTGACTGCCAAAAACCCATCTAACTCTTGACATTATGACATCCTCTATCTATCGACTGCCAAAAACCCATCTAACTCTTGACATTATGACATCCTCTTTCTATCAACTGCCAAAAAAACATCTAACTCAGATCAATAGCATGAGATAGAAAATAATAATAACACAAAAAGATGATAGGGAAATTTTAGATAATAAGGATAAAGTTTTGTTATGAATTTAAACATCCTGTAAAAATATGATAATTATCTTCTTTTACTTTGGCATAAAGTTAAAATAAACTATTTCTAGAAAACGTTTCATTGCCTAGCCGAAAGCTAGTTTGTACAGTTTCGATCATATATACTGTTTTCTGCTCTTTAGTCGGATTGCTGCCTCTTTCTTTCACACATTCCCCTTTTCCATTCTCTATTGTATATTACATGATTATATTCATACCAGTAATTATTTTTGGAACTTTATATCTTTGTACACTAGGAGGTTCTTTCAGTCGTTTTCTTTCTATGAAAATGCATCTGTAATTTTTTTGTTTTTGCATTCTCTTGATTTTAGTTGCTTTCTTGGTTGTACCAAACAGTAGATACATTTGGATTCTGAGGAGCAGATTTATCAAGTACGGGAGGATGGCTTGACTGTAAAGAATACTCATGGAGCAGTATTTGGGTGACAACTCTTCAGAGAAACTGGTGTTTGTCAGTATTTTTGGTGTGAAGATCAGTTGTTCTTACTTACATTAGATTCATTTGTTTTTGTAGGTGCCAATTTTCCTGGATTGAGGGAAACTTGCATTTTCATGGATATTTTATTTCATGGTTTTGCCAAAGGCGGAATCTATGTGTCCATGTACACATGATGGCAGACAACCCTACCAAATGTTAGAGATTTCTGTCAAACAGTTTCAGAGGAGTTGCATTCACGGGGGTGATTAACAAACATACCCACACAGGAATGGATGCAGGAATAAGCTCATTACTGAAAGTATCGGCCTACTGATGATCAATCAGCTGGATCCTAAAGATTAATCCTAACCATAGAAGATAAATCTTTTTAGAAAATACCATTTCCTTCAATATCTAGCATGTCTAGTGTAAGTGATACACATTTATAAATAAATATAACTAACCCTGTAACTTATGTTTCCAACAAATATCTTTCTACTTAAATTAAATCTGTCATCAACCTGGTCCTCTTTGTCAACATTATTGTCTTCTTCTTGCATAGCTCTAAAGAAAAATAAAACACAATAAATAAAATATGTTAATATAAATGATTTATCCAAATCATACATTTTGTCATTTATAGTTCATAATGGGACTTTAAGGTTTATCACCTTAGGGAGCTACCATTTGATTTTTATGGGGAGGGGGGGGGGGGGAGGGGGGGGGGGGGTAGGAAGAAATTTGAAAAAAATAGGCAGGACAGGAGTTTTGAGTAAAAAAAAAGGCAGGATGAGCAACTTGGTAAAAAAAAAGGCAGGATGACAATTTGTGTAAAAAAAGGCAGGATAAACTAGTAAAAAAAAAGGCAGGACTGAATAGAGTAAAAAATAAAAAGGCAAGACAGAAATTACAATTAAAAAAAAAAGCAGGACAAAATTTTTGCTCCCTTAAGGATAATGTACCCTTTTGTTGCTTCAATGCTAAACATATGGGAATTTTATAAAAAAAAAATCGACAGTATTACCCCTTGCACTCTTATGTTTGACAATTCTGTACTTAACAGATAGGGTATTACTGCATGCAGTGCTAGCAATGATTTCCCTAAAACAAGTTTTTGAATGAAGATATTAGTTAAAACTAGTACAAATATGGACGTATTCAAGTACACCTTCAAGGGTGCACTCGACTTTAGTGACTTGTAATGAATTGGCTTTTGATGGTCTCGCTTTAATAGTTCCAAATTAGTATTTCATTAATTAAATGTTTATTTAATGTTTACTTAATTGATCTAGACATGCTAAAATACAAAGTAGCTTTATTAATGTAACTATAAACAAATTCAGATTTCAACTCCCTTTATATATATTTTATGATTATTTATGCATTCAAATTTTCTTCAATACCATTTCATTACATACATCTTTGGAAGTAATAAGTTTTTATTCAAATTAATCAAAACTAATGATCAGGAGTTGCTCTGGTGAGGAGATGTTCACTCTCCACGTGTATATATGAGACGTCAGTGTAACATTGCCATCCTTCTCTAATACACTTTAAACTAAGTTTAAATTAGACTACAGCTTGCAGGAAACCTTAAGGTTCATGTGGACCCTTTAGCTAAAATGGCTGCATTTTCACCTCAGAAATTATTCTGAGTACAGACAAACCTGAGTATCTGGAAAAATTTTAAGGCATAGCATGCTCTAGATAAATAAAATTCAAACATATTTTCTCTTTTAGAAAATTAAAAACTTAACCAGATTTTGCAGTGCACTTTTTTTCATTCCTCCAGAAGATGCCAAAATAAACAAAGTTGGGAAAGAGGTTTGAGAACTTCCCCACAGGTAATAATTGAAGTGAACTGTATTGATTGACATGAACAATAGAAGGACAATAGATACCTGACAATAATTAGTGATTTAAACTGTGTACCTACATGTATCAAGTGAAACTCAACTGTTTGTTAATTTAATCATCTTCTGCATGGACGAAAAAAAAGTCCACAGCAAAATCCAGTTAAGTTTTAAATTTTCTAAAACATAAAATGCATTTGAATTTTATTTATCTATTTATCTATTGCTATGCCTTGAAACTTTTCCAGATGCACAGGTTAGTCTGTGCTCAGAGTAAATATTGGGGTGAAAACGCAGCCATTTTAGCCAAAGGGACCACATGAACCTTAGTGACTTTGATTCCACTCGAGTTATTTAACCGCAACTATATTGGCTTTATTTTGCCTTTGGTACGATTTACTAAATTCTAAAACACAATGTGAAGTATCCCATATGAAAATATTAGGTGGATTCCGCTTAAAATTAGCAGGATAGAGGCACAATCCACTTAAAAATTAAGACTTTCAAACAGAATTAAGGCGACATGGAATATGGAAAAAAATCTGTCTTAAGTATCATTAACTGAAAATATTATGAGGATGCCGCTTAAAATTAGCAGGATAGAGGCGCAATATCCACTTAAAAATAAAGACTTTCAGACAGAATTAAGGCGACATGGAATGTAGAAAAAAATCTGTCTTAAGTATCATAAACCATAGGCGAAATGTTTACTATTTTCCTGTTGAGTTAACAGGATTTCTGTTACTCTAGAGATGAATTTAGATTTTGTTCAAGTTTCTTAGGAGGAAATTGAACTTAGAAAATTTTGTTCAAATTTATGAAGCAGAAATTGTTCTTAAAAAAAAATTTCTTTTTGTTTCAAATGAAAAATATATCATTATTGAAGTATTCTTTAATCAAGTGATGGGAGGGTGGTGATAATCTGGGCAATAAAACCAGTATTTATTCCACCATAAATTCCAACATTATTCAACAGAGATGCATATATATTCAATCATGAATTTAAAAAAAAATATAACCAATTATAATCCCTGCAATGGTTACTTTTTAATATTTACATACTAAATAGTGTGTTAAGTAATAGCATTGTTCAGTCAGGAGTACTACTTGTACAAGTAATCTTTATTTACTTGAAGAAGTAAATAAAATATACTTATATAAGTTAATTATAATGTTTGAATAGTCTCCCCTTAATTTTCTCAAAAATTTACTTGTATAAGTAATTTTTTTTTACAATCCCACAAAAATTCTCAAGTTTTGAGATGTAAAAACATTCCTTTAACAATTTTTCTCGTGTTAGCTCATAATTTTTTATTAGAGTCCAATGTTTCATCTCATTTATTCAACAAAGAAACTGATTGCACAAAGATCTCAGGTATTTGCGCAAGGCCTTCAAAAATTGCTCCTTGGGGGCTTGTAAATGAGCAGTGTTCTGAAGATAACAGACAAATGAGATTTTCATTGTCCATGAAATTACACTTAAATGATTAGTAAAGACATCTGCAAAGGACAGACAATTAAAAATTCTTTTAGTGCAAAGAAGTCCTAAGAATTCAAGAAAAGAAGATAGGATGACTTTTTTACTTATACAAGTAAAACAAATCTGAATGTCTAAGGGACATAACTAACATGACTAAGCCCAATTTTATTTTACCTATACAAGTAAATAAAATACACTTGTATAAGTATCCTACAAATTTACTTATATAAGTATATTAATATTTACTTCTTCATTAATAAAAATTACTTGTACAAGTAGTACCCCTGACTGTTGTTAGGCAATTTATAATTTAAATTGTGTAATTTAATTAATCTTTTTACTGATTAATCCACATTTAAATAGATTTGCATGTTATGTGTTGCTATTTATATGGACTAATATATATATATATATATTAATCATGTTAATATATATATAAAGTGCCTAGATGTAAATACATAATTCACTTTCAGTATTTAAGACAATATTTTAATTTTAGATTTGCCTCATTTGTTGCAGTTAAATTTTGTTTAATATCAAGTATCTTTATCTAATTAGGTATACACAAAAACTATTTCCATGTGCAGTCTCTTCCTCATCAATTAGAAAGCTGAGCCAGTGATAGAAATTATGTAATGTGCCATCTGTTTTCCATTTATCTCTGTGAAATGGACAGGGAATATATTATGTACAGAGAGTTGGGGACAAATGAAGGGAAGCACATGTCTTTGTACATTTTTCTGCAATTACTATAACTTATAAACATAAAGATAAAAAATTAACAATAAATTATTAGTGGATATTTTTTTTATTATTATATATATCAAATATTTAAGATTTAGGTAATTAACAGTATTCATTAAGGACACATTTCAAGGAATCAGACAACTTCCTAAACAACCCCAACAAATTCAAAATCTGAATTTCAATTAAGAATTGAATGCTTCTTTTCGTAAATTTATTGGGGTGTAAAAGTGTTGAAGGAAGTACATTTTGTATGAAGCACAGAAGCGCTTCATTTCTAAAATGTGCGCACTATCAACGCTTTTACAACCCTATAAAATTACTAAAAGAAACATTCAATACTTATAATTATATTTTATTGCTTAAGGATCATGAAAACACGATTTCTATCAAGTTATTCTTTTATTTACCTGTGCACTTTATTGTGGAAACTCGTGTCATCATGAATGTTACATTTCATTTTGAAATGAAGGTTAATTTCAGAATGATGCGAAATTACTGTTAGCCAATCAAAATAACACATACATGTAATGTAATTATATACAATTGCATTTACTTTTTGTACATAACTTGTTTGATTTCATTTTACTTGAAATAGGTTTCTTTTTCATTTCGTTTGTGAACTATTACTATCAACCTAAGTTTCATTTTTGAACTTAACTTTTGAAATACTATTCTTAGTTTATTTCATTTGACTAACATGACCATGATGACTAACACTATGTTTTATTTAAATTGAATGTTGTACATTTGTAAATAAATTGTTGAGTTCTATTTGATTTAAAATGATTTATGTCTCTGTTCAGCCAAAATCTGATATCAGGTATCCCGATGATCGAATAGGGACAAAGTAGTGGCCACTACACTTCCTGGGAGGTGGCAACACTGACCCCTCCTGTTACAAACTCAACACAAGATTTTTTAGATTGTAAAGGTTGTTTATGACTTTTTGCAAACAATAAACACTAGCTAGCACAGCATTGAAAAACAAGTTAGTTATGTATATGTTTAAAATTTTATTAGAAAAATCTCTGTAATAAAGTCTGTAAATCTTCTGTAAAATCTTGACTTTATTTGCCACTAAATCCCCATTTTCTTTAAATGCAATGAAACAATCAACATGATCAATATGATGGCTGTGAACGACGTTTTCATTTGATTTATGTACAAAATGGCACATATATTCTATTCAGTATTTTTGCTTCTTTGATAATATAATTTGCAATTTGGAATTTTGTAATACACAGGCCTACAGAAGGGGTCATAAACGTTAACAGCGAGGAGACTACAGTAGAACACAATTTCAAATAGTGGCAGACTTTTTAGACCAGAATGTCCGATTTAAAGATAAGTGCATTGAGAAATATGTCACCTATGAAGTTAGCGAACACTTGTGTTCTTGTTTCCAGTTGCAGGACATTTGTGGAAAAGTCATAACAGGACAAAGACGGCTACAAACCTGCGGCGACGTTCCAGGAAATTCGTCTGCTATATACCGGAAGCTGTCGCTTCAAAATAAAAACCAACCCAACAACGGATAACCGTACGTTCTGAACAGAATATAGCTCTGTAGAATTATAAAAAAATTCCCAAGATTAAAAAAAAATATATCTGCGCAACAGACAACAATCTACAACAACTTTACAACTGGTTTTACCATTTCAAAACAAATAGATAAATAAAACATACAAAAAATATCATATTGCTTATCTTAATTATGGTAGCTGCTTGAAATAGAGATAATATGAAAATAAAGCCATAGATGACTTAATAAAAGCATGGAAAACAGAATGGCTATGCTCTCAACTGTCAGAATATAAAGTAATAACACTATTAACAGATTAAAGGAGGTGGCTGATACCAAAGCTCACAAATCGATGAGAACTGACAACGTCATGGAAAAAAATGAAAAGACGATAAAAAGACAGACAAGTCCACAAAACATTACATCATAATGGAAAGACTAAAGACTGTGCAACCCGTACTAACTGGCCAACTTTTAAAACTGTGTGTTATTTCATGTGCCCATAGAAGTAGGCAGATCCTACTTCTCAGGCTAGTTGCATCCGTCAAATAATGTCAGGAAAAGGATAAAACGAGAAAATAGTATATACAATGTGTTTTATATTTTCTATTGTTATATGTGAATGTGTATATTGTATTTATCTTTTTATAATTTGTCAGAGGGTCACAGAATTAGTTTTATGCTAACTGTGTTAACCTCTGGAAAATAAAGAAATTACTAATTACCCACTTACTAACGGAATTGTTGTTACTCATGACAATTGGAACATATTCGTTCTCTATGACAAAGAGGGGCGTAAAGGGGGTATCTGCACGGAAGAATGCGAAATAAAATTGCCATTTCACGATGAACGAACAATAAAAAAAAATTCTTGCACGTTGATCTTTTTACCGATTTCACGAAACACGGTGAATAACGAACCTTTTTCACGGCTGCACGTGAAAAAAAAATGGCAAAACACGTTGCACGAAAATAACCCTTTACCACCCTCGACAAAGATATACAAGAGATTCCAATTTCGATTTTTGTAAATGCACTACCCGCGGATTGACCTGTCGTCATTTAAGGGGAAATGCGTCATATGATATTTTGACGTTAAGATATTTGTTTTGTGGCGTCAAAGTACCAATTGGAAGATCATGTATTCCATGACGGTCAATCAACTTGAGATGGTGTCCGTAAAACTTTCAAAGGGATTACTTAAAATACCACTTTGAACCCTTGGTTAGATAGCATCCTTGTGAGCACCCACCCTTTATCGAGGAAATCATATTGGTAATTCAAGCTCTGGAAAATATATCAACTGGGAGATATATATACTCCATAGATGCAAGCGCTGCTTGAATGTTGGTACATAGACAAGGGAAGGTAACAATTGGGAAGCTGAAATCATCCATGTTTTAAATCTTTGCATCAACCGACCCAAATAGTCAATCTCTACTCTTAATCTTAGACTACTATAACACATGTGTTTTAATAGTATCTGTCTGATTCAAACCAAAATAAATGAAAGGTTGAAATATGATTTAATGGTGCTAGTTTTAATTGCTACCGTTATTGTCAAAATATCTATAGAGTATATATATATGTTTGAACGTTGTTTTCAATTTAGACATGTTTATATTTTTTTCGTTCGGGCTTGTATTAAATTTCCTTCGGATTTATATGATCCGTTCATCCTATTTCGACTCAAATTTCAAGAGTCTATCCTAAATTGAGGTAAATTATATGACCTTCCAAATACCGTTTCGATTCCTAACATCACTGAAGAGACATTAATTGTCGAAATCCGGATATGGTGTACACTTGAAAAACTTTACACCTTTTGTTTGCGGTATACCATCTTTTCCGCAAGTTTATTGTTTTCTGTTTAGTATTAAATTTATAATTAAGATCAATTTATTACATCGGTGATCCGTTTATTTGGCAATCGCCAATGGCAGTCAGCAGGGTTTAAGAACATTTGTTGTTCGACCTGCTAGTCAAATGCGTTTTGTTAAAATATACTTTTTCACTGTTTTGGTCTTTTGGAAAATGTTGTTTGTGTTTATTCCAGTATTGTGGTCGCCAAGTTCAAGTGATCACTTGAACTTGGCGACCACAATACTGCCGGGAATACCAGTATTGTCGACAATGCCGGAATAAAAATTTTGTTCCAATATTATATTCCAGTATTGTACCAGTATTCTTGTATAACAATATATTTACAAAATAAACATGGTTAATACCAAAAGAATGTTTTCATTTAAAATAAAAAGATGTTTGTTTTTTTGATAAAATATAAAATTTTTATGATGAATGAAATATTCGGTGAAAAGCTCATTATAGCTTATGTTTAATGTGTTTGTTAAATACGCCGAATCCAAATAAAGTTTTACTTACTTACCTACTTATATTTTTATTAATCCGTTGTGGTGCTTTGATATTTTAGTTTTTAAATGGTTATAGTGATATCTAAAAAAAAATCCTCGACGGAACAATTCAGGAGAAACTTCGGTTAACCGCAACATTTAATTATTGTGGAAACAACTTCACAGATGTAAACAATGTGATGCAAATGATCCTATGATAGTTTTTAAACAATCCAAAGTCTAAACTAAGTTGAAATGAAATCGATAACATGGGATCAAGTCCAAGTAAACATACAAAGCCTAAAAGGTCCCTCTCTGCACCACAGATAAGCATAAGAGCAAATGGACACGTTCCAGTAAGACGAGCAGCTACTGGAATCAACAGTCTGGGAATAGAGCCCAATGACTCCTCACTGTTGACTAAAAAATCAGACGAGTCGCCATATATTGAATTTCCTGAAGAAGAGTACAGAGATGGACGACTTGGTATCACGGTAAATGCTGTAGGCTAATGAGACGGGTTTCATGTCATTAAGATGATCCGGCCTAACTTGTTCTGCCCCCATTCGATCCGTCCCAAGACCAATATTTAAAGTCAATTTGGCCCTATATGTCAAATACTTATAAGGGATAAAAGTGATGCTTTCATGTTTTCTGTTCTGTTATAGAAAATCCCTCCTTCAAAGGAGCACTTCGCACAATGTTGAATAAAAATGTTTAAAACCTAAAAAGACATACTAAGTACGCCTCGTGGGATTAGTGTTGGTTACTATTAAAGACCCTTTTGTTTGTCAGGCGGAAGGCCTTTGATTATAAATACGAGTTTCTAGTCTGTGTAGAGCAAAGCATAGCTTCCTGGTTATGTATTCTATAGTGTAGCAAGCATCAGTACATTTACACTTGCAACCACAAGCACAAATAAAACTACTAGGATCCAATATAAAGTTTGTGTCTACATGTCTATCTGGCCCCAAGTGGATGTATCTAAAGTCGTTTGGGCTCAAATCGATTCAGGCCACATTTAAAGTTGATCTGGCCCTAATTAAAAAAAATATTTATGTACAAATGATGTATGTATATTTGACATGTAATTCATAAATATTAATGAATTATATGAACAATAGCAAATGTGGATTATCAAAAATTGTGTCTTTGATGCATATATTCAAATATATAATTTTCATTTGATTATAGGAGACATTAAAATATTGTTTTTGATATTTTAAATATTTAGATTTAGATTTCATATCGAAATATAATATTTTTTTATTTAATGTAAAATTTATATTGTTAGTTCTGAAATTACACAACTTTTTCAATATGTCAGTCACAAAACCGTTTAAGCTATCTGACATGTTTGAAGCCCTCTTTTAACAATGTATTATGCATAAAACTTTACAAAGAGACATATTTAAACCATTGTAAGCACTTCAAACTAAGCATTTTTATGACTTTATTTTGTGTTTCAAAAAGTTGGATCATCACCTTTTAAAATTTTAAATGTTCACTTTGAAAACTTTTTTCTCCCTCGATCTTTACTGATGACCTTTGTTTATGGGACACTTGACACACACAGGAAGTTGTCTAAGTGACTGTATTTTTTCCAGAATGGGATATATAAATAATGATAATATAAGGTGTATGAGTAAGGATAATTATGCAGTATATAGTATAATTATTTATTATTTATGTTGATTGACTAGTTGAAAAGGTTTGAAAATATACATTTTTTTCATTTAACTTAAAAAGGAACTTACCTATTATTAGTTGCTAACTTCTGTGTCATTTGGTCTCCAGAGAAATCATACCACATCTTCTTTTTTTTATATGATGCTTTTTGGCTGTTAACATCTAGAATGATCTATAAAGTCTAGGGTTACATTTTTTTGGACACTAATAACTTTGTCTTTTTTTTTTTTTAGAATTTAATGAAATTTTGACAGAAGCTTTTTTTATGATTAAGAGAAATTGTGTGAAGCAAACTTTTGAAAATATTTTTATTTCACTCTTTTTCAGTATTTTACTGATAGATAGACTTCAGGATCAAGAAATAGCTTCTGATGAAAAAATTTCAATTTGTTTTATTTTCCGTATTTTACTGATTAATGGAAATTTTTGGCAAACAAAATTTCACTTTAACACTGGCAGCACGCATCACAGGCAAGACAAAGGGTTTTATGGAACCTGAAACCCTTTAGAATTTTTTGTATAAAATCAGATGGGTTTTTCTGATGCACACCAAAAGGTTTTCATTTAAATTTCCCCAACAGCACAGTGTAGCATCACCAACGGAAATAGGTACCCCCAAGCAAAGAAACAATAATAGTAAAAAGTACCTATTCTAATCACCATACAGTAAACAACAATTGACTGTACAGTATATTCGCTTTATTTACACGAATTTCTATGTGTAAAAAATAGTTTGTTTGGAAAAACAGTGTTGTTCAAGCTTAATTGTGATATACCTTTGTTCTACGAAAACGTCAAATGAATAGTTGAAGGATAAATGTGTTTTTATCTAGTATGAACTCTTCACATGCTTTGTTGAACCTACCTATCCGATTCTGACAATTTGAAGAGAGAGAAAGCCAATAAAGGATCATAATCAGTCCTAAATAGTAGCTACATTATTAGGAATCACTATCACAAAACTTTACTTGTCAGCAAAATGTAGAATATAATAAAAATAAAAACAATTTGACCTTACCTGACTTCACATTTTGTTTTTTCCACCACTTCGGAGGTACCTATATCCAATGGTGATGCTACACAGTGAACAGGCATGACAAAATGAGATGCATTACTTTCCTGATTATTTATCTAAACTATTTTGATTTTAGACTCAAGAGAAAATAAAGAAAATTCTTGGATCACTTGAAGATGAGAAACTTTTTACTGACACAGACTTCCCAGCAGACGCTGCAGCATTATTCTTTAGTGATAAAGATTCCTCTATGATCACATGGAAAAGACCAAAGGTACCCACTGATACTCACAACAATCATTAGTATTGTACTAGTACTAGTAGTAAATTATTCTTTATTGATAAAGATCCCTCTATGATCACATGGAAAATACCGAAGGTAATCGTTGATTCTCACAACAATCATTAGTATTTTACAAGTAAGTTGTGCATTATTCTTTAGTGATATAGATCCCTCTATGATCAATTGAAAAATACTGAAGGGAATCACTGATACTTACAACAACCATTAGTATTGTACTTTTTTCTTGGGTTTTTGTTAATATGTTATACCAGTATTATCATGATTGTAAAGTAAAGAACTTTTCCTGTGCTATAAATATATTTAACTTAATGTCTTTATTTCCTATAGGATCTTGTTGAAGAGTGGCAGTCACCACAACTTATTTCAGATGGTGCTACTAGGGATGATATAAAACAGGGAATTTTGGGAGATTGTTGGTTCCTGTCAGCTTGTGCTGCTGTGTCTCAGAGAGAATGTTTTATGAAAAAAGTAATTATTAATTTTAACCTGTTCCTATTTCTGCAAATTACAATATTCATTTTTGTTTTGGAAAGATTGGGATTATATTTATAGACAAGTAACTGCAGTTACATTTGAACAGAAAATGCTGATTTGTTTAACGTTTTTAGTGACAATAAAATGGTTCAAGCTTTTAACTTTTTTTTTTATATGTGCTATTTTTGTCATCTCTGGGTTTTCTTTCAGAGAGTTGTTCTTATAAATCAAGATTTGAAGATTATGAAATAATGGAAGACACTATATTAGAATATAATTGTTTTTGTTTAGATTGTGCCAAGTGACCAGTCATTATCTGGTGAGGGTTACAAAGGAAGCCTTAATTTTAGATTTTGGAGGTTTGGACAGTGGGAAGACGTCTACATAGATGATTTGTTACCCACTGCTGACGGTAAACTGATCTATGGCAAGTGTACAGATCCTTGTGAATTCTGGGTAGCCTTTGTAGAAAAGGCATATGCAAAGTGAGTAGTAATGAAGGCAAGATTATATCCTACAATGGTAAAATGTATAGCAGAAATTGTAATGCTGGAATACAGGCATATATATCAGACAAACACTTGATATGCTTTTTAATGTCCATTTGCAGTTTGGGAGGGAAAAAAATATTTGGGTCCAGGACTTAGTTGCACAAAGTCATTTACATTTAACATTATTTAAATAGATAAATGTACTAATAAGTTAATCATTTAAGGTAAATAACCTTTCTTTGTTCCTTCTTGGTGGCCTTCTATTATCAGCAAGATTGCCCAAAGCAGCATATCTTCCATATTTGATCACTATTTGAATATTTGAAATTACCCTTTTGCCACTTTTAAATTTAAGTTACCTTTTAGTGTTTCTTAACTTTGACAAAGCTTTGTGCAACAAAATTATGGTTAATAAATTTTAATTGAGGTTTAGCGTATATTTGAATGACACTTAAATTTAAGAATGTTTGTCCAATCCAGTCCAGGACTGTTTTTAAGGGAGAGGGAAATTGATACTATGATATTATCTAGCTTTGTTGTTTTCAAGCACAAATTGATGAAAAAATCTTTGTTTTATCTCATAATTTTGATTATTTATTTTTTTGGGGGTTTGGGGTTGATATACTTGCACTGGCCCCTGATTTTACAATCTGTAAATGAACTGTAAACTTTTATCATTCTTTTACAGGTTACATGGATCTTATGAGGCTATAGAAGGGGGTCAGACAATGGATGCTCTGGTTGATTTAACAGGAGGTTTGGCAGAGAGACACATTATACAAAATAAAGACCCTCAGCTTTATAGACTGATAGAAAGGGCAAGGTCATCTGGTGCTTTTATTACCTGCTCAAGAAAGGTGAGTAATTGTTGAAGTTGTGTAGGGTCATTTGATTTAAATATATACATTACCACTGTAAAGCTTACTGAGCAATTTATACGTAGGTTTCAGTTTTATAACAGCTAGCAGTGCATATTATTGTATATATTGATATTGATAAATAAATAAATTGTCTGTTTTCATTGGCAAGAAGTTATGTTTAAATAAAAAAGTAGCTGTATAAACTTAATGCAGACTGACAATCTATACAAAGTTAATCTCTACTCATTGCCTTTTCCCTCTCAATCATATATTAAAAAAACGCATTGAAGTTGTTTAGAAAGCTAAGTATGGCCCAGTCCATATTAATTGAAAGCAAAAGCAGTGCAACATGTGACAGTTGGCACCTGGCATTGTGTCCTATATACACATATTTTTACTTGCTTCTGTGTTAATGCAATTAACTTTATTGATTGAACTATTTCAGGGAGACTGGAGATTTAGTAATAAAGCTGATCCTAATGGACTAGTGTCTGGACATGCATATACCATAACAGCTGTCAGAAAAGTAAGTCTTCTGTATAGTTCTAATGGTGACTGCTACACAGTATGTTAAACAGTTTCATACTTGTTTTTTATTCATTTGATACTTTTTGCACAAATGCATTCAAATTACCATACTAGAGTCTTTTTAACTGATATGCCAATTTTTATATATTGTAGTTTTACTGGAAGAAATTTTTTATTACATTAAAACAATGCAATAATGATACACAATAAGTACATAAATAATACACATGGAAGAATGAAAGCATGTTTTTGTTAAGTTGAATTGTAACATAAAAAAGATCATTTAAATGGATTACAGTATACTAAAGTTATGATTTTAGAAATGCATTTCGTCATCTTAATATTCAGAGAGTTTATTAAAAACTTAAAGGTTTCAAATAACTAAGATTAGATAGAAAGTTAGATATTTATTTCTTAAATTGACCTGTTGTCTTTTTTAGAATGATAAATTTTGATTGCTAAATTCATAAAAAGGGATAACATGAATTGCAAAAAATTCAGCACACTATCAAAAATCACAGTGACCAGGAACCTCCCCTTTTGCCTATTTGACTATATGTCATCAAACTGAAACACAATAGAAAAAACACCTACACAGTCCAGAAACCAACAGGATAACCAATAACTTAAACAAGGAAGTTAAGTATCCACCATTATTTGAAAGCAGTCAACTATTGGCATGATTAGCTAGCTATATAACCAGGTTTAATCCACCATTTTCTACATAAGGAAATGCCTGTTCCAAGTCAGGAATATGACAGTTGTTTTCCATTCGTTTGATGTGTTTGAGCTTTTGATTTTGCCATTTGATAAGGGACTTTCTGTTTTGAAATTTCCTTGGAGTTAAGTATTTTATATTTTTGCAGGAAGGTAGCCACAGCTGTTGGTAGGGATATTACCATTTATGAAAACAAAACAATCAGAAACAACATTATAAATTTGATCTGATAAGGCAAAACACTTTCTTCACATTTATTTAATGACTTTGTAATAATGTTATAGAATCAGTGATTGATTTGATAGCTTTGTATGATTTTATTTCGTTAGATCAAACACCAACGAGGGGAAGAGAAAATGGTGAGGATACGTAATCCATGGGGAGATAATAACGAGTGGAAAGGATCGTGGAGTGATAAGTATGAATCTTTTCATTTGAAAGAAAACAAATCTATTCAATTTCACTATTTTTTTATTTTTTACTTGAGTGAAAAATAAACAATTTCAAGTATAGAAAATAATAGGGTATGCTTGGTTTCACACCATCTGCTTTTAGGGTAAGGATGACTGGGATAAAGAAGTAAGAAATTCTTTCATCCAAAAATAAGACCCATGCTGAGAGTGCATTAATTTGGCATATGGGATGTATAAGTATGCAGTCACGTGCCACACAGTGTGGTTAGAATAAAGACACAGATTTGACGCCTTGTGTAAGGAGATTGCAATTTACATATTGTGAAAGTACTTTTATTCGTGATGTACCAATTTTCTTGGTTTTCATGAATGGCTTTATCCACAAATTTAAGTGTCCAAGGAAATATAACAACTGTTTTCCAAATCAAGACATGAAAAGATCCCCTGTTGGTTTGACAACATGGATACAGGCATATAACCTAGAGAAAATATTCAGCAAACGCACTATGAACTATATGCAGTGGCGTTATACCAGTGTAGCATGTACAACTTCAGACATGTTATTTAGTTGTACGACTTTTAATCTTTTAATTCTCATGAAAAATTAGTTTTGAAAGATGAAAGTCAAACTTCCGGTGATGATATATGATGATGAAGTGTTCATTTTATCTCCTCATAACTCTCTCACGAAAAAAAAACAATAATTTCATATTGGGCTTGCTTTTTAATTATTAATTCAAAGTATATTTGTAGCATTTTTTATGCAACCTTTTGTTAAATGACATGTTTTTGGCCCAATTAACACCTTTAATGATCATTTATAATCTGTTGATCATTCGATGGTTAATTATAGTGTCACCACTTCTGATTACATATGTGCAACAATTAAAATGTTTACTTTGCAATTTCCTTGAATCGAGACAATTTGTTTTCAGAGATGAATCAGCTTATTTCTGAAAGCAATTATTTTATTAAAAAATTAATTAATGTTGTCAGAAATGAATGACGAACAAGTAAGTAAAAATGAAAACCATATGATTATTTTCAAGAATCTTCATTTCTGATGGGTTAAAATTCCTCACCCAAAGTTTTTTTTCAGAAAACTAGAATCCCTGAATTTACGTCGCCATGAATATGTAACTTTTGCTCAATCCATGAAAAATTGATACCCATGAATAAAAGCACTTTCACAGTAATTTCATTTATTCGTAAAAAGGGGATGATATTTGATATTAATTTATGATATCTTTTTTGTTGATTTTTTAGTGATATAAACTGGAATTTAGTGAATGAGGATATTAAACAAGAGATTGGCCTTCAATCAAAGGACGATGGTGAATTCTGGATGTCATACAGAGATTTCTGTAAACAGTTCCAGGAAGTAACGATATGTCTCACTGGTCCGGATTTTGAGGATGATGAGGAAGTTGATTCTGCTGGTAAATTACAATTGTCATTTATATTTATCAATGTGTCCTATGGAATATTAGGGATCTACGTATCATTGTGATTTGTAGATAAGAAATAGGTCTGAATTGAGTTTAAGGATTATCCAATTATATAAAATACTGTGGATTCATTTATTTTCATGGATTGATGAAAACTTGAATTTTCGTGGATGTTTGATTTCTTGATTTTGCCAAAATGTGCATATAAGCTTATAGAAAATTTGTAATTAGTTTTACATTTAAAATTCATGGTTCAACTGTACCCTCGAATAATAATGAATTTATAGTATATTTCAGATATTAATGATAATGATGATATCCTTTATTTAAAGAGGCTAACCCAATTAGGTTTTACTAATCTTACTTGAGGTTGTTACTTTAATGTAACATTCTTAGCATTTGCCACTAGACATATAGTAACCAACAATCAATCAGTGATAATTATGACAATAAACCAGGGCTCAGTTGTGATAGTAGGTATTTATTTACATCAATGTTAAACAAATTACTTTATCTGATTTGACTTATATCAAGTTATTGCCATGGAAACAATCATTAAAAATAGACTTGAGATTTTTACATGAGTCCATATTGAATACATGTATTACATTCCACATATAAACACTCCTTCTCCAATCAGTGCCTCTGAAAAGTTTTCAATCCCAAGGCATATGTCTCCTTAAATAAATATAGGTAAGCTCAACACGAGGGAAAGATAATTTGTTGATTCAATATTACTATCATTCTAAGGCATACATTGTAATTTTAGCTCTAGAAAGAGTTTCAGATAATACTCCCACTATTGAATTAGTTATGAGCCATGGTAATTATTAGGTCAAGTACATTCAGTGTAAGTAAATTATCACCATAGTAAACAATTTTCCTGATAAGTTATTTCAAGTTTTCAGTAACAAGTCAATTCATACAGGTATCTCTTTTTATTCATGCTATGTCAGAATATACTATTTCTATTGTAGGTCATGTAGAAGTAGTGAAGGGAGACTGGCTTGCTGGTAAAAGTGCTGGAGGTTCACGGAATAACCTTTTTGATTTTGCTACTAATCCACAATTTGTTCTTACACTACATGAACCAGGTAAAAATATTTATTTGCTTGTTTCAACTTAAATAAGGATCAAGATGTAAAGTCATATCGACAATAAAGAAGTAGACAAGGCATGCATCAGTTAGAAAAAGCTTATCAGGCCAGGACGTTGGTTTTCTCATTTGAGTTGTTTCACATTTTGTCAGGTTGGAACTGTATTAGTTTACGATATGGGTTTTGATTATTGTTGAAGGTGGTACTGTGACCTATAGTTGCTTACATCGACGTCGTTTGGTCTATGGTGGATATTTGTCCCACTGGCAATCATACCTCATTTCCTTATTTTTACTGTTGAATTTATGATATTACACAAGAAAATAACTTTTATGATTGGATGAGTGCCCTTGTAAAATTGTAGGGTAGAATGTTCTAACTTTTCTAAGCCACTTATTTTACATTAACCTTTTTCTTTTTCAATTCAAATTTTAAAATATCAATAGTCTGTACATGCACAATTATTGGTGAATGCTTTTGTAAACATTGTAGTTTTCAGTAGGGAGCAAAGGTTTCAGGTTATGTTCATGGTCAGTGGTTCACTGCAAAGTCATTGTTTTAAAAAAAAAGTTTCATATTCACTTAAAATAAAAATAAGAAGATGTGGTATAGTTGCAAATGAGACAATTCTCCACAAGAGAGCAAATGACACAAAAATTAACAACTATAGTTCTCTGTGGACTTCAACAATGAGTAAAACCCAGTTTTATTATAATGTTTATTTACTGTTTTCATGTACAAAGGATGTATTATTGAAAGAATATGTCCTTCCCAATGTATAGTATTCTTTCTACCCTACAATTTTACAAGGGCACTCATCCATATGTAATATCATAAATTCAACAGTAAAAATAAGGAAATGAGGTATGATTGCCAGTGGGACAAATATCCACCAGTGACCAAGTTTCTACCCTACAATTTTACAAGGGCATTCATCCAATCATAAAAGTTATTCTCTTGTGTAATATCATAAATTCAATATTTTTTTCCAGCAAGATATATAAAGACAAAAACCAACCCTTCATCTACAACAAAAGCATAAACATGCATAAGAAACCATAGCCATAAGCAAGCATAAACAAACAAAAACTCAACTAATAAGTGAAAATCCAAGTTAAACTAAAGGTGTAATACCACGAAATCATAGTAGATCACATCCTGTATGATAAGAAAAAGGGTTGAAAAAAATATTCCCTTGAATTTGACAGTTGTATGAAATTAATCATACATTTCATTGCAGTAAAAAAAATCTGAGTCATAAACATATATCTTGAGTTTTTCAAAGCACCATTCTTTTTAGTTCCCTACCGACAATTCAAAGGGGGCTTTAGGTTTGCACTCTGTCCATCTGTCTATCCGTCAGTCCGGCAAATCAGTTTTCCACACTTTTTTTCTTCATGCTTGAAGATATTGATTTGATATTTGGTGTATTGTTTAATCATGACAAGTTACAGATCAAGTTCGAATTTTGTTTCGGTCTGATGATTTTGTGCAGAGTTATGGTCCTTGGACTTAGAAAATTCACTCATATAATCAGTTTTTCACCCTTTTTTTTCGTCATGCTTGAAGATATTGATTTGATAATTGGTATATAGTTTACACCATGACAAGTTATACATCAGGATAGCATTTTGTTCCAGTACAATGAATTTTTAACCGGTAGGGGACTATGTATTGCAATGCAATACTCTCAGAATGCTTGTTTTATTTTGTGTTCCTATAAGATAAATTTGGAAACTTGAGGTTACATGGTAACTAAAAGCTTGTAAACAGGAAAAAAAGGGGTGAAATTTGATTGGTTAACTTGCAGTGATGGTTATTATCTTATATGCAATGAAATGTTATGTGAAATTTTGTCTGTAGTTCTGGACAGGATAAAACTTTACTCATGCCAAGTATTTCTTTATTTGAAACAAAGATAAATTCTGCACATTTTTTTGAAAAGTGCCAATTTAACAAAGACTTATAGGGGAAAAAAAGGTTGTATTACTCCTAAAACAAAAACATACCAGAAACAAAATAAAATGATTTAAAAAAAAAAAAAATTAAAACAACTACAATCTCTCCTAAAAAACTACAAAACAACTTGAAGTTATGCAGGTATTTTTATTTAAATTTTATAGCAGATTTGCAGATGTTTACATCATTTATACAAACTTTAATATCATATAAGGCCATTTAAAAATTGATTCTTTGTTCAAACAATGTAATCAAAAAGTATCTGCTTTCTAGCAACTCTTGGTATACAAAGGAAATAACTTTGAATAAAAAACAAGGAAATCTACATCAAAGAACTTCAGCTTTACCAGTTTATTTTTCATAAGATTTTGTTGTGTATCTCAATTATATCGTTTCTTAGTTTAATTTTTAGTTTAGAATTAAGAAATTTTATGTTTTATAGATAATTTTAACCCACAAAAAGATGATCCTGATTCCGAGGGCACATGTAGTGTAGTCATAGCCTTAATGCAGGAACATCGTCGCTCAAACAGAAATGTTAAAGTCAAGAGTCTGCAGATTGGCTTTGTCTTATATAAGGTATTGGTACTATAAAAAATAAAATGCTTTAATAAGTCAGTTCCTTGAAATGAATTGATCAAGTTAAACTCATTTTTAGCATCACAGCTTGAATATGAAAACTGTTGATTCATTTATTTCTGGTTTACAAATGTTTTTGAATTGAGGGAAAATTGTATTCTTGTAGATGCATGTACTTGATTGTGGTTATTAAAATTCAGCATACAAGCCTATAGATAAATTGTATTATATTGAACACTGAACTTTTGGGTTAACCTTTACACGTGAAATCAATGAAAATAAGTGCCCTCATGAAAAATAAGGAATTCATAGTAAATCCTTTGGACAAGTTTATTAAATTTCCTTAAAAATGTTATTTGTTACAATCTGTTTATAAATATGTATTTCAAATATTTAAGTTATAACAATATTATACAATATTTACCATTGTAGACAGACAATCCAAAGAGAAGACTTGATACAAGACATTTTCGATATCACCATGACTGTGGAAGGTCTGGTGTGTATATAAACTATAGAGAAGTTAGTCAGAGGTTTCAACTAGAACCTGGACACTATGTTATTATACCTTCCACATACATATCAAACGAAACTGCCTGCTTTATGTTACGGGTTTTTGGTGAGAAAAAGTTCACATTGAAAGGGTAAGTTATAGGCCATGGTGCACAATAATTTTTAGTGCTTCTGCAAGGTATTGTAATGTGAGGTAATATCAGAGTGCTAAGATAACTTGTAATTACATGGGAAAAAAGTACAATAAAATCTATTATTTTTGCACACTCCTTACTGAAATAATTCTTCATATTATATCTTGTTCTACCTGAGTACATTAATATTACTCAGTGATATGTGAAAATATTACACTAAAACTAGAAATAAAATACATATAATAACAGATATGTTCCAACTGTCGTGACCACATTCCTCCAATGAAACTAAACAACAAATTGGTACTTACATAAACAACTTGAATGGTGCTTACCCTTCCGGAGCACCTGAGTTGTCCACCTTTTTTTTGGTGTGGTTCATGTTGCTCAGTCTATAGTTTTTTATGTTGTGTTTTGTGAACTGTCTTTTGTTGTTTTACATTAAAATGTTTGTCCCTCGCGTATCGCGCTGCAGGGGACATGGAAATACCGGGAATCCTTCTGTCCGTGTGTGCGCTCGTCCGGTCTTGTTAGCTCTCTCACAGGTACAATTCTTGCCAGATTTTTATAAAACTTATACTATAGATCAATATCAGCAATATCTCAGACAAGTTCTATAATGGTGGACAATCGACTTTTTTTAAAAGAGTAATGCCCCTTGGAAATATAAAATATGTGCAACGCTGGGGACATTGGAACTCTGTTCTTTTATTTACATGGTAAAATCTCACAATAAATGCAATGAAAGTAATGTGTCATTGTTAAGGATATCAGTGTCCAATTAATTCTGTTGATAAAACTGTAGCATCATTACTGGTCCACTTTAAATTAAGGTTTCCTATAAAAATGAGGAGATGTGGTATGATTGCCAATGAGACAACTATCCACCAGAGTTCAAATGAAGAGGGTGTAAGCAACTATAGGCAATCGTATGGCCTGCAACAATGATAAAAATCCATAACATACCGGGGTACAGTCGGCCACAGAAAAACCTAACATGAAAAATGTGAAACAAAAAAACCAACCGCCCAATATATAACAAAACAATTTAAAAAAAAACAAACATGACAGACATGAACTAACGACAACCACTGAACCACAGGCTTCTGACCTGGGACAGGCACACAAAGAATGTGGAGGGTTAAACATGTTTGTGAGTGCTCAACCCTCCACCTAACCTGGGACAGTGGTGCAGCAGCACAACATAAGAACAAACTGTAAAAATCAGTCGCAATTGGCTTAACTCAAAAGATCAAAATGAGGAACAAAAACAACTAACATAAAAACAATAGAAAGAAAGCACCAAAATAAGAGTGCTCACAGTAAGCTGAAAGCTAGTTCAAAAACATGGCTTCCAAAACTGTCATATATTCCGAACATTTATAAATTTACCGGACATTGTCCGACTTGGAAAAGCATGAAACGGACATCTACCTTTAGAGTTCAAGGCTTTCTTAAGAGATGGTCATTTTAACATAATTAAAAAAAAAATGGAAGTTTATGCGATCTTTTTGACATGACCTTTTGCCTTAAACAGCCACACATTTCAGGTCATAAAAGTGACATGATGAATAAGTACTATCAAAACAAACCCTACTTCAATACCTTCTCATTTTAATCAAGGTTAATTAGTTGTCGGACAGCTGAAATTTACCTGTTCAGGCGACAGGTAAACTATTTTGTACGGGACATTGATCGGTCTATTCAAAGTTATATTCTTACATTTCAGTGGTTTGCATCTAATTAATTTAGCCAAAAAGATTGAAATTATCAGAAATATGTTTATAAATATGATTTGATGAAAATTTTAAAAAGGTTTTAAACGAAAATTGTCAGAACCATGTTGTTTGAACTAGTACATGTGTGAGTATGTGGGAAATTTAATTATGCATCCTTATTCTTCAAAAATGCTAAAATTATTATTGATACCTTTATCTAACGTTCATTTCCAGTATTTTCTTGAAGAAATAACGTGGAAAGAGCTACTTAAACTCAATCGTGCTTTGTAAACTTACACGGATTTTACGTATCTGTCTCTGGCCTGTGTTTTACCATTGTCAAGTCAACATCCTGTATTAGGAAAATGTGCTTTTTAAAAACGAAAGTAAAGTTTTTGACAACGTTATTTTGCACAAATAAAGAGTCTAAGGCAGATATTAGTATGCTGATGTTCCACACTCGAATGATGCACTGCCAATTTAACAGTTTACGTCAGAACATCGAATTTATATCAAAGTAAAGTTTAATATCCTTTTAATGTCAATCATTGGTTATATGATGGCCAACTGATTACTATAGTTGACTTTTGATACTAAGTCTTAAGGGATTAAAATTGGGATATGACCTAAAATGTCCGGCTCGCTCAAAAAATTTTTGGAAGCCCTGGTTCAAAGCAAATTACAATTTATAAATAAATTATGTTCTCCAGACAAAAGTATCAATCAGTACACATCCAACAGATTTAGTGTAAAGATATCTAAACAGTCTGAGAAACACATGACCTTGTGCAATGGCAAAATATCAGTACAGTTTTGACCTACTCCTTCAGACAAGGTTTTTCCTTTTCCTTTAAGGTCCTCCAGGTTTTGTTGGTTTTTCTACAATCAAGAATCTTTTCTTTTTTTTGTCTTCCTTGTGGCAGATTGCACAGGTTTCGAGACATTGGTATGATAGTCTGGGAAAGTTGGCAGCAACTGATAGCTTTAATCGATTATATAAAGGTTAGCCTGATGGAAGACAGAAGAGCTAGACAATCCCTTCTGAACTGAATTTTCTCTCTGGCATATGTCAGGCATCATTGGCCTTATTTTCATGACTCAATGACTTACTTAAGTCAGTATTAAGTTTCCTTTAAGGTACTCAATGCCTCAATGATTAAATTGAACCTGTCCATCTGCCAGGGTTAATTTGACATATAACTTTGACCAATCAGAAGTGTGTTTATCTAACATCTTAGTGTTTGCATGGCTTATCTTATAAAATGTAATCATACTTGTAGAATATTTTATTATATAAACTATAATATGCATATATTTTTTTACTCAGGCCATTACCAGATGCAGTTATAGAGAACAGCATCAACAGTTGAAGATAACATGCTTTAGATATCAAAAATTTTATAGCTTTAGTAGCATTTACCTGTTACTAATATACTTACTCAATACTGTCTCATGCTAAATATGCTACTGACTTACTGAAAATACAGAAATTATTGGATACATTTATTATTATGACTTTTGAAGGATAGACGAAAATGTAAGATTAATTATTGTAATTTGGGGAAAGCTGCATACAGATATATCTGTCAGATATCAGAATACAAGTTCTTATTATTGCGATACTCACCCAGTTGCATTATAGGCATTAATAAAAACCTAGCAATAATTCTGCATTTACATTATGTAGTTTTTGAATGCCCTGTTACCTGCTCTGGTTTTACCAAAAGCACCATGTTAAAATATATATTATTAATATCAAAAATATTATTGAAAACCAATGGGTCTGAACTTCTTGTTTTTATTGTAAACAAATCTTCATTTTTGACTTAAATTTTTGTATGTTTAGGTATATCTCTTTACTGTTAAAATTTGCTGTTACAAAATTTGGGAAGTTATTTCAAATTAAGTAATATGACTCCCACATGCAAAGCTCTGATTCCTTGTTTGTCTATTGTTGAAGATCATATGCTGACCTCTAGATGCCTTTTGTTTTGTGTTGTTGGGTTACTGTCTTGGATGAATTATTGTTTTTTGTTCAATTCTGTAGCCAGTACTTATTATAGATTTTGACATTAAATTAATAATAATTTAATGGAAATATGATAAAAATGACCCTTAACAATTTTGGCATTGAGCGTTCCTGATGAACGTAAATCCAGAAAAGCGCTTTGGACGCATAAAATTATTAAACGTGTTGTTTTCAATTTTTTAAACCAAGTCAATCTGACACTATGTCACTACTCCAGATTTTATATGATTGGACAGACTTCTTGATGAAAGGCATATAATAAAACCATAGGAAGTGTGTAAATGACTTGTAGAAAGTAGGAATCATCATTATATCACCAACATTTCTCATGTGATTTGTGCTTAAATGAAAAAATAAACTAGTTTTGAAGTGAAAGCAATCCATTCATATCTATAAAGTGCACTTGCATATAGTTCCTATGTTAATCAAAATATGTTGGCAAACAATAAGTGTAACATACCAATCTGATTGTTATGCAAACAAATTGATTGACCTAGAACTGACAAGGAAACTTATTTGATGCACAATAAAAACATACAATATTTCGAACTGAAATTCTTTTTCTTTCTACTTCGAATTTTGACTCATCGTTGTAAATTTATGTTTATTTTCCCCTGCGTAACGTGTTGCGGGGGACATGGAAATACCGGGAGTCCGTCTGTCCGGTCTTGTTAGCGCTCTCACAGGTACAAGTCTTGCCTGATTTTGATAAAACTTATACAATAGGTTAATATCAGCAATATCTTGGACAAGTTCTATAATGGTGGCTGATCGACCTTTTTTAAAAGAATTATGACCCTTGGAAATATTAAATTTATGGAAAATGGCCTCGTTAGTGCTCTCAGGGGTACAATTCTTGCCAGATTTTTATAAAACTTATACTATAGGTTAATATCAGCAATATTTCAGACAAGTTGTATAATGTTGGATGATCGACTTTTTTTAAAAGAGTTATGACCCTTGGAAATATTAAATTTATGGAAAATGGCCTTGTTAGCGCTCTCAAGGGTACAATTTTTTATATAACTTTTATAGTATACTATAAGTAATGCCCTTGAAGGGCTGTTTGAAATATTTAGTATACAATAAAAAAAACTGTTTTGTCCCCTGCATGCTTTTTATTTATAAATTGTTTTAAAGATGAAAAAAAAAAAAAAATACCCATTGGAACTTTGTTCTTTTATTCTTCTTCAAAGGGACCCCTAAATACACTTAGAGTTAACGGAGATTTTGAATCAACAGAGTTCGACTCATCAGAGTTAGAAATTCATTGAACAAACTGGAACTCTTTTGAGACTGACAAATAACCTCTGCTCATCATAGTTTTTTGACACAACCAAGTTAGACACAACGAGATTCAACTCTATATCACTTTCAATACTTAAAAAATGAGCTTCTATTATCAGCTTTAAAGAAACATTTGTATATTTTTTGGTTTCAATTTTCCTAATGAAGGTATATCCAGAAAAGCTCTTTGTACACACAAAATGTATTAAGTGTTATTTTCGTTGTAAAGAAATGAAGCAATGTAATAATTAATGTGTGTAATTGTGCCTTAATTATTATTTATTGCAGATAGAAAATAATGCAAGTAGATATTCAGTACTAAAAAAAATATGCTCAAACTTAATTATACCAGACAATGTATAGAAATTTTTCTAGTAAATACATATAGTTTTTCCATATTTTTATTCATTGTCCCATAAAATCAAATTCATGCTTTTGTTCAGAAAACTATTTTTTCAATTTTGCCTTTTGACAATAAATCTCTATGTCTATTATTGAAGTATGGGATTTTTTTTGTCTTTTTTTGTTGCTAAATTACAGTTAGTCTAATGTAGTCAATGATTTCCTGCTGAATGTAAATCTTGAAAATTATTATTTTCCCTCTCTACAAAATGTTATGAAAGTATGGTGTTGGTTCACTTCAGCTGATCACTGTATAAATATTTCAGTCTTTATCAGTGGAAATTGTTTTATTCTTATTTGATTGACTGTCTTAAAGTGCCTTTAAATTGAAGGCTTTCGTGCAATATCTTTATATAAGAGATCTAGAGTTAGTGATTAATTGAATTTTAAGAGTATTGTGTACTTGTATAATTGTATAAATTATATTTTAGATAATATTAGTTTAGAATAAATTATATTTTAGATTATATTAAGTTAAACAGTTATCATGTTGTTCTCATTGAAAGACAATCTGTGTATGGAATATAATATTCTGTGTTTGCTTGATGAAGAATCTGTGAAATATCATATTGATAAATTTTTATGTTTTTATATGAGAATTTGTGTCTGTAAAGGAGATAAACTCCATATTTATGTAATTTATATATATAGCTGAAATAAAACTAAGCGCCCGTAGAAAATGCCATTAATTAAAATTTTAATTTACATTTAGAATGGATGCTAGCTAATTTTATTTGGAGTAGGTGTACTTTAAAGTTTGTTGCTATAAAAGCATTGTATTAAACCATTTCTTTTTAAACAACTGGAGAAAGGATGCTAGCTAATTTGATTTAGAATAGGTGTACTTTTAAAGTTTGTTACTTTTAAAGCATTTCATTAAACCTTTTATTTTGAAACAACTGGAGATAATTCAATTGAGAAAATATCTATGATAACAATTTCTATAGAAGATGAATACACAAAGGAAATGATATTTTGGAGAATATGCTTTTAGGTTAAGTAGGTTAATATTAATCTGATATTCCTGAAAAAATCAATTACTCACTTTGATATATTCACACTTTTTTGAGACTTTTAGCAATTTATAACTATGCATAGCATATGACAGTTACCCTACTGAGGCACCTGGTCTCTCTCCTTATGGAGTTCATGCATTTCCCTCAGTGTCTGTTTGTTACCTTGATTTGTCTCTTCATAATTAAATGACTAGATTTGAATATCTGTAACTACTTTCGGTTAAATCTTTATATTATAAGGACAACTATCTAATGATTAAGACCATATTTTGACCTCTAGTTGTCATTTGGTTTTTTGTGCCGTTGAAGTTTGCTGTATTATATCCCATGCATTTTTATTCATATCTACAAAAATTATAACTGCTTTTACGAAACAAAAATGCGAGGTTATTTGAAGACCCTTTGGTCTTTAAGATTTTGTCTTTTTACAGAGTTACTGAGACTTTTGAAATAGTTTTGGAATAGCTCTTTTGTGTACTTATAAAACAGTAATATATACATATTTCATACAGAATAATACACTAATTTGTATAAAAAAGTAGAATTCCTCTACAATAGGAAAATAAAGAAATCTCTAATATATTCATAAGTAGAAAATAATGCACTTCATAAGGATGAAAACTGATAGTTTTAACCATTCCAGAAGAATTTGAAATTTTAGGCAATAACTTTTTTGAAGGGGAATTTTTATTTTTTGTTTATGGTATGCTTTCAAGTATTTGTTTTCACATTTGCATATAGTATTTTGTATCTGACAAATACACAATTTTTCTACAATACTATTTTTCATGGATTTGTAGGTACTGGGTTTGTCTGAAAATGCCCTTTTTTAGTTAAAATGGAAAGTGCATATTGTAGATAAAAGAATTATTGTAGTTTTTTTATTAATCCAAAAATTGCATAACATGATATGTTTTGTACTAGTAAAACCATTTAAGTGACTAATTTTAAATAACTCCTTTCTGCATTCTTGTATTCTATATTTCCAGATGTCAACAGTAAACACATGCTTTAATTTCTAAATGTATATTATATATCTACATTATTGTATGTTTTTTTCCGTCCTAAAATTCTTGATAGTAAATGATAATGTTTTGTACATGTTATTTATTGTTTTTTACATTCCTGCTTCATGTTTTACTACATGGATTTTATACATATATATATTTATTAAAGACATCTTATATCATTAGTTATTATCTTTTTACAGTCCATTGAAAGTGGCATCAGAATTGGGAATGTTTTATGAAATTACAAGATTTCATATACAATTTTATCAAAAATCTTGGTAACTCTAGGGGAAAAGATTACCATTGTTTTCTGTAATGTCAGTACTTTTGATCCAAAATTGAACTGCACTTAGGTTTCTCATTTCAGAAAAAAAGATATTCCATATATTTTTGATAGCTGGCACTAACTTATGATTCTTTCGAAAAAGCTATTTTGATTTTAATGTTAAGTGGAAAGTGTTATGCAGAGAGTTATGATGTTGAATTTTTGTATGGCCCCTGAGGCATAATCTTTTAAACTTTTACAATTTGAAATACTATGCCTCAGGGGCCATATAAAAATTCAACACCATCTGTTAAAATGTTGTACATTCCATGTACGTAAGCAATGATTCAAGTATCAGCTTCTTACACCAAATAATTTACAATACCTCACTGGTTACGTCATAACTTGAAATACAAGTATACGTACTTGGTTTCTGTTAAAATATCAAAATTCTTTAACCTTTGGCACAGAAATCACTGATAGTGATAATTACATACCAATTTTCATAATACTATTTCAAATGGAGTGAGAGACGTTAATTTATTCCCTTTTGGAATTTTATGCGTCTGTCATACAAGTGAGAGGTTTAGCTAGTTATAAAACCAGGTTTAATCCACAATTTTCTACATCAGGAAATGCCTGTACCAAGTCAGGAATATGACAGTTGTTTTCCATTCGTTTGATGTGTTTGAGCTTTTGATTTTGCCATTTGATAAGGGACTTTCCGATTTGAATTTTCCTTGGAGTTCGGTATTTTTGTTAATTATTTTTTGTCAATTTCTTTATAATTGGCTGTTAGTGAAATAAACAAAAATTAAATAAGAATTATGAGTTCTTAAAGAGAGATACTTTCTGTCATAATCCAGGTTGTGATATTTTGATTGAGTGTCAATTCGCATGGCTGGTGATGAATGCAAACCATAAGATGCTGATCCTGTCGACTCACCAAATTTTGCTCCATTTGGAGTTCAAGCGATTCCCTAAGTTTTTTTACCTTTAAATGTCTCTTCCTTATATATTTACAGATTTGAACATCGGTTAACTATATCGCCTTAATCAAATCATTTGTAACATTCTAAAGCATAAACCGGTTGCAGCGTGAGCCTTGAAAATTATACCAGTAGTATAGGTCATTAGTTGGCTTGAAAGCAATCTCATTTCAAAAATGAAGTCTCCGAGTATGTAAAATTTAATCAAAATATTACCACAACCCTTCTAAAATATTGAAAAAGATAACCCTTTTATCTGAGAGTGAAAATATTCATGACTAGTATTCTATATATGATACAAGTATACTTTATTTATACTAAAAGTTTTAAAATACAAGACACTGAATTATACTAGTATCCTTTATGTGTCGAAACTTTTACTATGAGACTATACAGAAAATGGGATATTGACAGCGTTCATTGCATGAACGTTTTCGTACATCTATTGATAATCTGCAACATGCAAAATAAAGAGGAGGACTGGAACATATCTTTGTTGAATGAGAACTTAATTTCCCAACAAAACTTGTTCAGCTGGAGTATTGTGTTGCTTATTCATGATTTGTCTTTTCTTAAATCTGAAGAATAAAGAGAAAAGTTATGGTAAGACCACTTTTTTAAGGACTTGAATTCGAAAATGACACCGAATGAACGACCATGCTATAAACAGGTAATCACGAAGAAGAAACATTTACACAACTGTCGAAACACCAATGGAACAGGACCAGAAGAAAATCGAGACGCGAGGAAACAAGCAATGGTTGCATCTATATCAAACGGAACAAAATTTAACTGTTTTCGACGAAAACCATTTACATTTAGCTTTTACTAATAATTGCAATAATTATAAATGTGGTGACAAAGCGAATAATGAAAATAATCCAATAATCCCTTTTATTTGCAGAAAATCCTAATCCTAAAACCTTTCCATCTGATAAAATCAGAAATAATTGAATATATCAAACATAAATATGACAATTCTGGGCCAGCAATTGCAAGGTGAAACAGAAATATACTAGCACCACAAACAACAAACAATAAAAACAGAGGAGAATTAACTTGCTATGAAAATATTGCTAAAACTGCTCCGCAGAATACGGTCTTGCTCTTGAGAAAAAAATATAAGACATTCGGTTGCCTTTTGATCTAAAAAATCGTGTTTGGCAGCTCTTACTTAAAGAAATGTGGATGGGATATGGAAAGAAATCGATAATGAAAACTGTACTGGATTAAAACATTTAATCTAGTTGATCATTACATTTTGAAAACTAAACTAAAATCTTACAATTTGATTCCTTATCAGTAAAATGGGTTACGTCTTATTGAAATGAGTGATCTCCAAAAGATTTAAAAAAAAAACATTATGGAATCATCTACAAGACTTTATTATTATTTAGATATGCTACAGGGAAGTATTTTTTATCCTTTGTTATTGCTTTTATACAGAAATGATATACAAATGACTGAAAATTCTATGCCTGATTTGTATGACGACGATACTACTGTTAATTACTCTTCTAGATTAGTAAGCGATATTCAATATTAAATGAAGAAATGACTAATAGTAATGAAGAGTTTAAAGGTATTGTAAATGCTACGTTAATTATTACAACTTAATCAATTTCTATCTTATCAAGATCAGTCGCAAAGATACATACGGTCGATTTCAATCTGAAATGCATGACATTTTATTATTTTTTATCGAATGTTGAATATGAAAAAATGTTCTGAATAACTCTTGATAACTTTATGTCATGTTGTAAGTAGATAGACAATATGGTTAAACATATCAACCTTAAATGGCTTGATGTATAGTTTAAGGACATCTCGCTCAACAGATGGCTTAATATTGTGAAACATTTTTCTGAGTCTGGATGCGCATTGCCGATAGTGAAATCGATACAGGAGATGTTTACAGGAGATGTTTTCCTGTCGAAACACCTGCTTCGTTTGGAGATTCATCAACGTATGGTAAATCATGAAGCTGTGTGATGTCAACAATGAAAACAGCACGCTATCAATTTTCAAAGATGTCTTTAAATCATGCTGAATCATTTCATTAAAAACAAACTGGATTTACGAGATTTTAATATCTGTAAACTACTGCTGTCTATTTTTACCGTTATACTGTGCATTTTGTATGATGTTCATATTTACTAAATATCATATAGTCAAACGGATGATTCTTGACATTCAAAACAAATATTAGCCGGTCACTTGTATATTTTTGTTTGTTTGCCAAATTGAATTCTTTGAGTAATATGAGTTTAAGTAATTAAACGACTAGTATAGACGCGTACATTTAATTTAGAAACTGGACATACAAAAGTATATCTGATAAATTATTTCACTGTGGACAACACGAACTTCGGAGACTATAGAACATATTCAACTTGGAGTTACAAATCTTTTGACAATAAGTCTAGATTTCTTATACACTATCAATTTTTTGGCTTGTTTGGTTGTACACTATACATTTCCGTTTAAAATAAATAAGAAAAAAACATTGTTAGATGCATCTATTGTTTGTGTTTTGGAAGACAGCAAAGCTAGAAAATCCATATTTTGCAAATATTTATTGCCCTTCGGTGTGTAAGTTTCCGTATTAAGGAAATCTTTCAGTATATATAAGTTATAAACATTCGCATTATTTAGCATTGTTTAAAGTTTGAAAATTTTTCATTAAATAGAACTTGTATTTCTAATCTGCAGTGTATTTGTAAGAGCACTGGACTCTGTAGTAAACTACTGTTAGAAAAAAATACAGCAATGAATATGTATACATGGAAGCTGTTGATGATACAAGTGATTTTATTCAAAAACATACTGATATTCTTGAATATGTTGTATCGTCCGAACCCTTTTTTGTTGGTCGGGTAATATTGCATATGAAAAAAGAATGATTCTATCGTTCAAATATTATTGGTCTTAAACATTAATTAAAAAAAAACAGTTTTGAAAAAAGAACCGTAGATAAAATCAGATGTAAATTAATATAAGGAAAGTAACAAAAAAATAACGTATATGTTGATAATTATTATTATAACCTGAAATTTTTGTTTTGTCTGATTACTTGTTTAATTTGAAATTCTATTTTGACATCAATGAATTGTAAAGTTCAAGGTAATAAAGAATTTGGATTTGAATCATTATGTTTATGTACGGTATTCAGTGCTGACATATTCCAGATAAGATTATTACATTATCTGTAATTTATATATATAACATTACGCAGTAACAACTACAAAATGTCACATGTGCCACACATCAAAGCCTGTCTTTATTGTCATCAAATTTTTATCAAATTTGAAAGTGTTTGTGTTATTTTATCTGTAAATGCATGACGATTAGATTTCACATCATAACTGTAATCTCATACATAAAACTAAAATGCGGAATATTTATATAATACAGCCCGATTATTCTTAATGTTAGTATTGAAAGAGAAAATGACCCAAATACAATAGCAATTTATTGTAGATATGTCGAGACTAAAGGAATACGAAGAAGACATTATGTTATTACCGCAGTCCAACATTTTTTGAAGAATAGTATTCACAAGGGTAAAACAAATAAACAACAACTACAAGAACAATATGAGACCGATTTTTCATGGTTTATTTGGTGCAGGTATTCCGAGGGGAGATAACGTAGTTGTACATGTTTTAGACTTCAAATCTCTTACTTATATGTCTGTCGGCTTTATTTCCGATCCTCAGTGTAATAAAAAGTTCACAAAGAGTAGTTTTAAGGCACATTACTTTTTTGATTCTAGAACTTAAAACCAACTGTAGAACAGATTTCTGATTTGAAACATATATTAAAAAAAGATGCTTAAACTTTTATAGTGCCAAATTGCTCATTCAAATGATAGTGAAAAGTTGCTCTGAAACCAACGATTGCAAATATCCCTGACATTTCGGGG